GGGAAGCTGCTCCTCCTCCTGTCTTCTCCATCTCTAGGAAAGCACCTGCCTCCAGGCATCTGCACAGTCATCCCCAACTGACATCCTTGGCCCCACGCACCCTCGTCCTACTATCCCTCCCATCCACATGACTGTGGTGTCCTCCTCCTGAGCATCCGATTCCATTTGTGTGTCTGTGTCTGTCCAGAGCCACTGCATTATTGCTGGACAGCACCAATCCTCACCAGAAATCCACAGCTTCTAATGGGGCTCCCTATTTCCAGGTTTGCACCCCTTCTATCTACATCTCACACACAGCGCCAATCATTTTCTGAAACACTAACCTTCCTGCTTCAGGACCTCCCATGGCTTCCCACTGTTCTTGGGATAAGACTCAGAACTCTTGAAGAGGCTGCTCCCATCTGTGTGATCTGCGTCTTCCCTGCTTGCCTCCCTGCCCCTACATCTTGTAAGAGGCCGCAACACGGACTGGTTCAGCGACGGACCCTACAGCCAACTATCCAGACCCGAATCTGGCCCTGCCACTGACTAGCTGTTACGAGACCTCCCCGAGCCTCACTGTACCCATCTATAAAGTGGGGTTAATAATAGCACTCATAGGACTGCTATAGGATAGAATGGGGCAAAATACTGAAACCGCCATTGCAAAACTATAACAGTGAAAGGCATCTGAAAGGTGAACAGTGAAAGGCATCTGAAAAACACCTTTCAGATGCCTTTCACTGTTATAGGACAGTGAAGCAGATGTGTTAGAAGACAGTGAAGAGATTTGACCTAACCAACTCCATCTTGCGTCTAACCTCCAAGCTGCCCTTGCTTATCCCTGGGTGTAGACTGAACTTTGGGAGGAACTTACAGTTTAACGCAAAGACAACGACAGCCCTTTTCCAAAACCTTCTTCTTGCCTGGGGATTAGACTGCCTTCATAGGACTAACAAATTAGCCACAAGATTGGGATTATGGTTTAGGAATCATGCAGCTGGAGGCTATAAGATTCTGACTCTCCCCAGATTGCTCCTGGGGATAAAATCACTATTGTAAAACCTAAGACCAGTGCTTGAGATATTTTGCAGACCTGGTTTTGTTTTTGTTTTTGTTTTTTTTTTGAGATGGAGTCTTGCTTGCTCTGTCGCACAGGCTGGAGTGCTGTGGCACCATCTCAGCTCACTGCAACCTCCGCCTCCCAGGTTCAAGCAATTCTCCTGCCTCAGCCTCCCAAGTACCTGGGATTACAGGCGTGCACCACCATGCCCGACTAATTTTTTGTATTTTTAGAGACAGGGTTTTACCATGTTGGCCAGGCTGATCTCGAACTCCTGACCTCAGGTGATCTGCCCACCTTGGCCTCCCAAAGTGCTAGGATTACAGGCGTGGGCCACCATGCCTGGCCCAGAACCTGCTCTTGATGGCTCAGCTGGTACCACCCAGATCAATAAACTGGCTCATCTGATCTTGTGGCCCCCACCCCAGGAACTGACTCAGTGCAAGAAGACAGCTTTGACTCCCTATGATTTCATCTCTGATCTGACCAGTCAGCACTCCTGGCTCACTGGCTTCCCCCAACCCACCAGGTTGTCCTTAAAAACTGATCCCTGAACGCTCAGGGAGACTAATTTGAGTAATAATAAAACTCCCATCTTCCACACAGCCGAATTACTTTATCTCAATTCCTGTCTTGATAAATCAGCTCTGTCTAGGCAATGGGCAAGATGAACCCATTGGGCAGTTACATTACAGGGACATGCTGGAAACAGTACCTAGTGTGGTGTAAGTACTTCATAAGCACTGGCTATAATCAGCTGTCACTGCCCTCCTTCCCCCTCGCCATTGCCCCTCTCAAGTTTTGGCTAGTCTAACACGCATGCTCTCCCTTCCTTACTGGACGTGCCTGCACCCTAGCTCAGTCTGGCTAAATTCTCCTCATTGTTTAGGTCTCAGCTCAGTCATAACCTCCTCCAGGAAGCCTCTTGGATTCTCCAAGCCACACAGCACTGTTACACACAAGGTGTTGCCTCTTTATTTGTCTCTCCCTCCTTTTCTGCACCCCTTCCCCAGGGCTGCAGGCTCTGTGAGGGCAGGAACCTGGTCTTTGCTTCTCTCCCATGCAGCCCCAGCTCTTTTCACAGAGTGGATATTCAACAAAGATTCAGATAATACTGCTAAACAAGTGAACCCCAGTATCCCAGTGTGTTCAGGAACCTTCCCTGCCTCCTTTCTCATTATGTGCAGGTTTCTCTGGCACTCAGATCTCTGAGAAGTCACGTGCACCCCTCACCGCCCTCGGCACTCACCCAGTATGTGGGTTAAGAGGCCAAAGGAAGTATCGCTCAATATTGCAAACAAACAGGAAATTTAGAACTTCTTCAGGAAGAAAGGACCTACACAAAAGGTTACAAGGCCTACTGTGAATGTTGTGGAGGGAGGCGAGGCTTGGGACTTCCAGGGCTTTGTTTAGCATCAGCACACTTGGCACCCAGTGGAGGCTAAAGGATAACTCTTCTCTAGCTTTCCTAGGCAGGTGCTGAACCTCCGGGTGGAGAGAGTTCAGGAGATAGGAAAATCATAGCCTTCTGAGAAGGGAACACCAAGTACACTGTGAGAGCCCTTCATGGGCTTGTCTGCACAAGCAACGAAAAAAAACTTCAACCCCAGACACAAACTGATCTGCAAGTTATTCCAGGAAATGGGTGGGAGTCCTGGATGTTTTAAAAGAATGTTCATGAGACTAGGATTGGGGATGAGGAAGGAGACACGGGGGTCAAGTCTTGCTGTTACCTCATAGTGGCCAATGGTGTTTAGCTTGGTGATTCCATCTTCAAGAATCACAGAGGAACTGTCGATGTCCAGAAGTTCTTTCTGTCGTGTGCCCACTTGAAGCTCTGAAAAAGAGCATTTTGTTCCTTTTTAGAGTTTTAAAATGCTACCACTTTCACAAATTTACGGATAACTAAAACTTGAATAAAGTGGTAAATCTTTGTTTGAAGGTGTAGAGATGTTATCAGCCAGACTAGTAGCCTGAGTTCTGAGTTCTGTTGTGTTTTTGTTTGTTTGTTTAGGGCTCTGATGTTTCAAACCACTTTTTCCCTGATAAGCCTGGAAGTAAAGCCACTGAAGACAAAATAATGCATTCTATGAGGGACTAAGCTCTTCAACAAAAATTCCAGAAGCAAATCTGTATATGCTCACACTTGTGTGGCCACGTTCACAAAGAGAGGCATGATATGAACCATCTCTGCAGGCTCCTGTTTGGGGTGGAGGGGGAGGCATCAGTGTGCGAACGTCCCAGCACTACAGGGTGCAGACTATCTGGCCAAGGCTGCCAACCTGTGCCTAGGTCAGAATGTGGTGCACAAATGTGATTTTTCTTTTTTTGGAACCTGCATGATGTTTATTATTTTAGTGTCGACTCAGTGCCAACATTTAAAGATTAAAAGATTGCACATAGGCTGGATGTAGCAGCTCAGGCCTGTAATCCCAATACTTTGGGAGGCTGAGGCAGGGGGATTACTTGAGGCTAGGAGTTCAAGACCAGCCTAGGCAACATAGTGAGACCCTGTCTCTCTAAAATTTTTTTAAAAGTTTTTAAGTTGCATATAAAAAACTGGATATCTGATTTCTTAAAAAAAACAAAAAAAATCTAACAGTCTAACAACACAATCTGCGGTCCACATGGCGATCACTGAAGCAAATGGCACTGTCCCCTTGGATGGCGAGACCTTTCCCATTAAGTCAAGCTCCACTGCTTTCTGTAGTCCCAGGTGGCTGACACCCCTTATGTATTTTCTGCCCCTTTGGGCATCTGCGTTTTTGAGCCTCTGCTGTAAGAGCTCCAAGCATAGCTGCCTCTGGTGTTGGATTTCTTTTTTTTTCTTTTTTTTTTTTTTTGGAGGCAGGGTCTCCCTCCATTGCCTAGGCTGGAATACAGTGGCACAACCTGGGCTCACTGCAACCTCTGCCTCCCGGGTTCAAGCAATTCTTCTGCCTCAGCCTCCCAAGTAGCTGGGACTACAGGTGTGCACCATCATGCCTGGCTAATTTTTGTATTTGTAGTAGAGACGGGGTTTCACCATGTTGGCCAGACTGGTCTTGAACTTCTGACTTCAGGTGATCCGCCTGCCTTGGCCTCTCAAAGTGCTGGGATTATAGGCATGAGCCACCGCGTCCAGCCTGGTGTTGGATTTCAATACAGTTGATGGCTTTGCCTCAGAAACCAGCCCTGGAGGTAGTCTGGGAAATCAGCAGGCATGCAGAAGCCTGACACGGCTGACAGGCTGTGTCCCCAGGCTCCCTGTTTGCTCTGCTCCTTGCCTTCCTACTTTAGGAGGCAAGGGACACCCAAACTCAGGAAAAGAGTAAGGATGCTACCACCTGCTCATCAGCGGCAGGACCAAGACTGTTGGGCAGGGTATGCCCATGTCTTTTGTAGTGAGAGCCACACATTTGCAAGATGTATGCTCAGGGCAAGGAAGTTGGGGGTCTGGGGTCGGGGTCATGGTTTCCTGGCTGGGGCTCCCCCTTTGATTCTGTATCTAACCAAATGAGCTAAAATGGTCCTCAAGCGGCTCAACAGTCACCCAAGGAAGGAAGCAGAAGAGGGGTGCCTTAGCAGCCCTACTTTCTTTAAAGCCAGATCACCACCAAGTTGCCCCACATTTGCATGGTCTCAAACTTCCAAGACCCTGCCTCAAAGCTTTCTCAATGGCCTTTTAGCAGGGGGCTGGACTGGGAGGGCCGAGTGGGAGGATTTTAATTGTCTGCTTAGTCAAGGCCTATAACTGTACATCAAGGGGAGGTGAACCTCGTTACACTGTCTGTCACCACCATGATGTTATTCTTCGTTTCTGTCCCATTATTTGCTATAAAATCCCACGACAGTCTCCTGGGAGGACTGCACGGAGCTCAACTTTAAAATGTTGATGAACATTTGAGTGAAGTGGGGCCCTGTTAGCTTGCTCACGCATATGCTCTCCTTTGCAGTATACCAATAGAGCCCGAAAATGAATTCATAGCAGATGCTGCTGCACACTGGGGGAGGACAGAGCATATACTTAATACAGGATGTGATTAGCAGAGGAAGATGACCTTTCTAGCAGGCTGGAGTTAACACCCAGAGTCTGAGGCACCCACTAATGACACGCTCAGTATCACAACAAACAAATCAAGTGCCAATGTGAAATGCAACACACGCAGAGGGCCCCGTGTTGACACCTTTCTGTACTTCGTGATGCAAGGTGACTCCGTGCGGGCTCAGGGTCTGCAATCTCATGAATCTGATTTACAGACGTAATATGTAAAAACAACAACAACAAAAAACCCCGCCATCTTTTAAGAACTGTGCTTCCTTCGAAGAATCAGGATGCCCATGAGAGAGCAAAGCAGTCTCTTGGCCCCTAGACATACCCTCCAGGAACAATCTGGCTGTGTAAGTGTCACTGAACGGAAGCTGGCGGGGGTAGGGAGGGAGGGCAGGCAGGGAAGGAGACTCATCAGGGCCTGGGACCACATAGCTCCCGCACTGCCTTACCAAGACCAATTTCATTAAGCTGAAGTCCATAAGGAGAACCATTTTTGCTTAAGAATGCTTGGAAAATCTTTTCTTTGGCTTGGCCTATGGTGTCACAGTCGAGAACATTGACTGAAATATTCCGACAGACATCTGCACTCTCGTTTTCCGGGATTTTTTCAAAGACGACGTTTAACGCCTGCAAGAATACAAACAGATTTCCAAGTCTATTAGATAATTGCAATCTGAAAGGCATTTCATAAAAGACACAAACCTTGGCAAGTCCCACTAATACCTCTGACGGCACATTAGCAAACACTGTATTGCATTATACTACTTTCATCTTTTCTCCATAATCCATTCTTTTCAGGGATAATGGAAAGGAAAACAGAAAGTTAAAACTCTCATTATAGAGCAAGCATTGAATAAATATATCTGAGAGTAAAATATATATATATATACACACACACGTAAATAGTATAAAAATGGTAATTTGGTGATTTCTAATTTCATCCTCAAAAGAAAAAGAAAAAAAGAATTGGAAGGGTTCCACAGTAGATGAGGCAGATTGGTGATTATCTTTCTTATTAACAGGACCACAGAGTCCCAGAAGTGAAGTTCTAGGTGACAGGAAAGGTTATGAGGTCCCCATATTGACCACATCAAAGAGATCACTTTTTTTTTTTTTGAGATGGAGTCTTGCTCTGTCACCCAGGCTGGAGTGCAATAGTGCCATCTCGGCTCACTGCAACCTCCGCCTCCCGGGTTCAAGCAATTCTCCGGCCTCAGCCTCCCAAGTAGCTGGGATTACAGGCACATGCCACCACACCTGGCTAATTTTTGTATTTTTTCAGTAGAGACGGGGTTTCACCATGTTGGCCAGGCTGGTCTCAAACTCCTGACCTTGTGATCTGGCCACCTCAGCCTCCCAAAGTGCTAGGATTACAGGTGTGAGCCACTGTGCCCAGTCCAAAGAGGTCACTTTTTAAATATGCAGCATTAATTACAGGAATACTCATCTACTCCTCCACTGCCAACATCCTCAGTCAGATGGTTTCCCCAGCCCTCATTAAAGCACTGAGATCCCCACCCCATACTATGATTCTTGCATTAATTACTTTACATTTCAGCACCATTACTTAACATTTTGTCAGTTAACATTCTCCCACTGCAGCAAAACTTCAGAATCAGACTAATGGGGGAAGTAAGGCCTTTGTGCACGTGTGAAAACACAGAACTAGGGAATATTTCAAAATGAACTGAAAAGCAATTCCAAGTTTACTTTGTCTAAGAACAAATAGATCTAAAACAACCAAGTTTTACCTGATACGTACCCTCACAGGAATTGATTCAGGGAAGAGCTAAGAATATTTTGCAAATAGCATAACATAGCAGTTTAGATTCTAATGCACCTTGGTAATCACAAAGTCAGAAAGGCTTTGGTATGGTGTGAAATGCACAATTATTTAATGTTTTGAGCCTGGCTTAATAAGGGAATGTAAAATGATCAAGTAATGGGAATTTGTGTTTGTTTTGTTTTGTTTTAAGGAGCAGAGAGTTTAATAGGCAAGAAGGACGGGAGAAGACGGAAGAAAGATGCTCTCTCATACAGAGACAGAGGGAGGGGGGCTCCAAGTCCTGTGGACACCAGCCAGGTATATATGCAGAGGCTGCAGGAGGCAATGTCTGATTTGCATAGGGCTCAGGGGCGAGATGAAAACACAAATAATATGGAAGATGGGAACCCTCAGGCCTACCTCAACTTAAAAATGGGTATAATAACAGTACCAGCCTTCTAGCATTGTTATGGAGATTAAATGTCATCATGCATTCAAGGGCTTAGCACAGGGCCAGGCTGCTGGGAAAGGCTTGATAATATCGGTAATAAAACCTGTTACAATTATTATTGTTGGTATTAGTATGCACTCATTTGCACACAGATTCAGCCCACATTGAACAGCTAGGACGCCCACTCCACGCTCAGTATCTCTAAGAAGGAGGCTGCCAGCAATGAACCCAGTGGAACCCAGTGGACTCCTGGCTTTCGTCCCAGCCCACCGCCAGCCAGCTGGGTGACCTCTGAGCCCATCCCTAACCAGCTGGGTAACCTCTCTGTATCTTGCTTTCTCATCTGCAAAGAAGGCATAACAGCAGTAACTGCATAGCTCTTAGAACAGCGTCTGGCATGTGAACCCGTGACTTACGGACCACTGACGTGGATATGGGGCTTCTGAAATTTCGGGAGATTCTCAGGGCTGTGTCTTCCCTTTAATGCTGCTATGGTCTGAATATTGATGTCCCCCTAAATCCAGGTATTGAAATCCTAACTCCCAAGGAGATGGTACTTGGAGGTGGGGCCTTTGGAGGGGATTAGATCATGAGGGCAGAGTCCTCATAAATGGGATTAGTGCCCTTATAAAAGAGGCCCCAGAGAGCTGCCCTGCCCTTTCTGCCGTGTGAGGACCCAGCAGGAAGGGACCATTATGAGAAAGGGGCTCTCACAGGACACCAGCTCCTGATCTTGGACTTTTCAGCCTCCAGAACTGTGAGAAATAAGTTTCTATTATTTATAAGCCACCCAGTTTATGGTGTTTATAAAGAGCTGAGACAAATACCACTAAATCTTGCCCTTATAATCCTGTTGATAATTATGCAAGAGTAAATTTTGTTCTGGTCTCAACCAAATGATTAAAACTCCAAAGCGGTGGAATCTGAACTCTGAGGTTAGCTGGTGATCTCTGTCTGGCCTGTACGAGTTCCCTCCTACAACAGAGTCACTCCCTTGCCTGCTCTCAGAGAACCTTTGTGTTCTGGGCCAGCCACCCACTAGGAAGGGATTCAAAGGCCTGTCTGCTCACAAACAAGAAACAAAAAATAGCAGACAGGAGAGAAGGCAGGGAGCTGGTGGGCAGAGTATCTGGAAGGAACCAACATGTGAAGCCTCACACCCAAGCCCTCTCCTCGCCTCCCGTTTCTAGAGATGTTTCCTGGGACCTCTGGGACCAGATGCTCTGCCAAACACATTTCAAGACCTATTTCTCTGAACCCTCCCAACATTCTGGTGCAGGAGGTTGTATTATTTTTGCCATCCCTGTTGTAGAGTGAGGGAACTGAGGCACGGAGGGGCTGAGTAACTTGCTCCAGGAACAGCTTACCAGTGGCAGAGCCAGGAATTGAGGCCAGATTTGCGTAACTGCAGAACTGGTGCCACAAACCCCTCGGCTAGGCTGTCCCCGCTTTACCACCCATCCTCCCTCCCTCCTCCTGGTTCCACCTATAGCCCCGGAGCCCTCCTGACCCTCCAGAAACCCTGGCTTAGCCCAGGCTGTAAGCAATGTCCCAAGCTAAATTCCCCACACCAGTGGGAGGGGTGGGTGTGAAGGGGTCAATGCCGGTCCCACCACCTATGGTCTTGTTGGGGTCTTGCCTTATTTCTCTACAAGGTGATCTTCTCATGGTGGGGGTAACTGCAGTTAAGCTACTTCACAGGCGTTTCTAAAGAGAAAGATGAATGGGAGGCACCTTTTAATCAGAGCTTCAGCAATCCCAGCTTGTTTAATAGTTTTATAAATATTTGTGAAACAGCATTCTATTACTACCTAAAGGGCACTATTGTCTTCAACAAAAACACCTTTTTATGGGCAATAAATGTTCTTTTTAAAAACATCACCAAAAGAAAAAAAAAAAAAAACCCTTACTGGATGTAAAATAATGTAAATCTGCCACTGCCTCCACAGCTAGATGGGTGGAAAAGAGGTAAAATGGCATTTTACAGAGTCCACAGGGAATTCTGAGAGTAAATTCAGACACAAATTGATTTGTGTTCATTTTTTATGCTGCTAACACTTAGTGCTCAAACAGCAGTTTCTTAAGGCGCAAGCAGAGTCAAGGCCCTTGGCGTCGGCCTCTTAACACCTCCACCCCCAGGCTGGGAAAGCGCACGTGGGCCTCTGCTCTGTGCCACGTCAGACAGCGTGATGTCACAGCGTCTGCCCTCAGCCACTGTACCCCATCAGGGGAGATACCTCGATGGAAGTGCCATCTCTCCAGCTCCCACACTCCCACCAAAGCCCATTTAACCAGCATGTTCTCCTGCCCTATTTGGTATTAGGGCTGGGATGTCAGAGAGACGTTATGACATGGTCCTTGTTCTCAGCTAATTCACAATAAATTTCAGAGACAAAAGCATCACCTGTGGGACAACAGTCACCCATCAGTGGCTATCACCCTCAGCGAGTGTCCACAGACGATTCTGAGTAGGGAGGACAGCAGGGGTCAGGGCCCTGAGTTCCAGATTCAGCACCAGGCCACCTGGACCCTCCCATTCTCTGCTGCTCACCAGCTGAGGGAATGTAGGGAAGTCGTCTAACTTCTCTGAGCCTTAAAATCGTCATTGTTCCTATCTCAAAGGAGTGACAGGATCACTAAATAATGACATATAATAATAGCAAATTAAGGAGTGCTTTATAGGTGCCAGACACTGTTTTAAATGACGTGTATGTATTTGTATATATAAATCTCAGGAACAACCCTGTGAGGTAGATTCTTTTACTCATCCCCTTGTGGCAGATGAGAAACTGAGGCACAGAGAGGTTAAATGGCACAAGGTCACCCAGCAAGAAAATGGTAGAACCGGGTACTCTAGCTCCGTGTTCTTAAATACTTGGTGATCCTGCCTTTCGAAGTACAAGAATGTTTTGTAAAGTAAGCGTGGTCCAAATCCATGGGATGGCATAATACCCAGAAAATACCCATGAAAGCCTAAAGAGCTGTGAAATGTACACTGGTCCCTTCCCCAGAAATCTGCCCTCTCTTTAGAGGAACTGCCCTGCCTCTTCATATTTCCTTGGCAGGAAAGCGTCAGTAAGCTGCGGCGGCAGATCCGGTTTGTTGTCCAACCAACAGCCATCCCTCCTCTGCTAACAAAGGCCAGGTCTGCACAGCGGTGGGTCCAGCCTGGGTTGGGAGGCATGATCAGCAGCAACTGCCTTCTCTTTCACCAGGGCTGGTCATGTAACCCAGCTCTGGCCAACACATAAAAGCAAGGGTTTTCTCTCTTTTTTAATAGACAGGGTCTCACTCTGTTGCCCAGGCTGAAGTGCAGTGGTGTGATCATGGCTTACTGCAGCCTCAACCTCCTAGGCTCAAGCAATCCTCCCACCTCAGCCTTCCACGTAGCAGAGACTGCTTGACTACTTTTTTTTTTTTTTTAGAGACAGGGTCTTGCTATGTTGCCCAGGCTAGTCTTGGACTCTTGAGCTCAAGTGATCCTCCCACCTTGGCCTCCCAAAGTGCTGGGATTACAGGTGTGAGCCACCACACCCTGTCGGAAGTCTTCTATCCAAACAAAAGGGCGAGTAGTGCTTGAAGCAGTGGCCGCCATCTTGTGACTAGGATGGCAGCGCCAGGAGGCACTGGGAGATAGTGACCCAGAGCTGTGACACCATGGAGTGTATGGACCAGCTTGGAGCTCCTTCCCTCCAGACTTTCTGCTCTAAGAGGCAAGTCATGCTCTTACTATTTCAGGCCTCCTTAGTTCAATTTTCTCTTACTTATAGCTGCATGTGCCAAACGGAGCTCATTTTGTGGATGCTGAGGTAGGTAGATGCGTCTACTGTTGCCTGTTTACTTTGCACCTATTGTGTGCAGGGCACTGTAGGTGATACAGATCAGAACCTGTACTCATCCTGCCTGGGAAGTACTAGCAGACTAGAAGAACTGTGGGGCATATACAACAAATTCTAATGCCAGGTAGAATGTGGGAGGTACAGAAGGAGCATTTTAGGGATTGAGAGAGATACCTCTTTTAGGTCGGTAGGGGGTTTTCAAGCAGAGAAATCAAGGAAGGCTGCATGGAGGAGGCAGCGTTCAAATTGGGTCTGCAAAGAGCTGCAGTACATAAGGGAGGCCTCTGGACCATGGAGACACTTGGCTTCCAGTCTCTAATTAGACTGGTGAGCAGGAAGCTTCACTCACTCACTCAGGCTGTCAGGTCAGGAAGTTTACAGAAAAAAAATCCCACCTTCTTTGGGTGGAAGTGGGGGTGGAGGACTTGTAGCCCAGGCCTGCCTTCTGAAACCACCTCCTGCTGCCTTGAAAGAGTCCCTGTACTTTTCATAGGAAAAAAAAAATATAGTAAAGAAAAGAATATGGTTCTCGGTTTGTAATAATAAGGACCAGCACTTGAGTGCTTACCATGTACTGGAATGCAATCATAGGTTCATTTAATCCTCACAACTGCTCTATGAAGTAGGTACCATTATTAGCCTCATTTAATAGATGAGGAAACTGAGATGCAGAGAGATTTAGAAACGTGTCCAAAATCATGGAACTGGTGGGAGTCTTATACTGGGGCATGTCCTGACTCTGAGCTGCAAAGTGAAGAGGCCAGCCAAGGTGATGAGCCTCCCAAGGGCAGTGCCCCTCTGCTTGAGGGCCTCAGTCAGTGCTCTCCCAGGAGCCTCCCAAGGGCAGTGCCCCTCTGCTTGAGGGCCTCAGTCAATGCTCTCCCAAGAGTCAGGCTGGACATAGGTGATCTGGTAGAGGAAGCTTTACCTCCTCACCCTCCTCACAGAACTCACTGAATCTGGAGCACCCTGTGCCTCAGGTGCCACCCAAGGGCATTTTTACAGAGCTCCTGTTCGCCCACAATAAAGGTGACATTTCCTAGCTTCTGTTGCTGCCAGGTGTGGCCAGTGTGCTCCCGATTCGGTGAGCTCAAGTGATCCTCCCACCTTGGCCTCCCAAAGTGCTGGGATTACAGGTGTGAGCCACCACGCCGTCAGAAGTTTTCTGTCCAAACAAAAGGGAGAGTAGTGCTTGGAGCGGTGGCAGCCATCTTGTGACTAGGATGGCAGGGCCAGGAGGCACTGGGAGATGGTGACCCAGAGCTGGCCTCTTGGC